TCACACTGATGCTGCTAGTCTGGGGTACCACATTTTGAGAAACACTGCTTAGAGGAGAATCTGTGGCCAAAGAATGTCTTGCTACAATGTGACTTTTGCTTGGAGGGGAGAACAATCCTGGAGATACCTTACCAAGTAAGGATCTCATAGAGAAATTAGACCTTCAGGTCCTGGCAAGTTACAAGCAGAAATAAGATTTATCCTATGCTTGAGTTGTGGTGATACTAAGCACCTTGCCTCCTGACCTCATCTGGCCCAGGATTTCTGCTTTTACTAAGTGCCACAGGTCCCTCTTGAGAGTCGTCAAATATTTGTGCCTATCTCCCTGCACTAGATTATCAGTCTGTCCCTGGGACTGTAATCGGTGGTTTCCAATATTCCCCACCATCTCTGGAAATTCTTATTTAGGCCAAGGACAGTGTGGGTAAAATTGCAATATTTCCAGAATCTCTTGCCTGGCCTTAGTGCATCTCCATATCGATAGGTGTTTCCAAGGGGTGGAGAAAAGTAGTCCAACTCCATATCAACAGGTGATTACAAGGGGTAGCAAGGGCATATCTGGACCAGAGAGGTTGGGTGGGGTCCTTTTGCAGCTGGGTCCCGAGATGTGGGTGAGCAGAAGCAGACAGCTGCTTGTAGGCAATAAACAGATTTCTCCCACTTTATTTCTCCCTTTGCCTGATTTCGGCTTCAAAGGTTATTTGCCCCAGGGGGGTGGGGGGGACATATTGCCCAACCCCACTCCCTCCCCACCAGAGTTACAGACAGTCAATCTAAAGAGAGCTCTTTAACATGGATTAATCTTAGACTGAATTAGCTCAACACAGAAAATCAGAACAGGTCAGTATCAGATCTTACAGTGGGTGAGAAAAAGTAATGAATATGCTCTGTGAAACAATTTTTCTCTTGAATCAATCACCTTAGAAGAAGGTTTAAGGTAGTAAAAACAGATTTTTTTCAGGATGACATAAAATATCTCCTATTTTCCAAACATTTCTGCTTTATATTTAAAAAATAGAGATCAAAATAGTGAGTCTCCTTGGAATAAAAAGCATACATTCATAATTTTTTGTTTGGAAAGTCACAAATAGTCAAAGATGTTATTACAGTATTTTTTTTTTTTCTTTTTTACTCTAAGCATTTAGCCTCTACAGCCAGGAGATTGCTTGAACAAATTGTACCATTACCTACACATGTGAGAAATGCATTCAAGGACTAATTATATTGGCTTTGGGACAAAATGAAACAATCAGTAATTCTTAGAACTTGCTCAGTCTTCACCACCGTTCTTATCTCGGAAGACACCTCAGGATAATGTTTATTTTTCTTTTGTTATTACCTGGCACCTTTGTTCTGCCTTTCATGGTCGAAGTTGTATTTGCCAAGATTAAAATTCACTTGATCTTTAGGCCTTTTATAATGTTGGTTAAAAAAAGTAACTTCCTGTTTCCTATCAATAAAAGTTAACAAGGCTACTGAGGCAGATACCCATGGGTTTAATT